AGAGGCGAGGGGGTCCCTGCACCCTGTGCCTGACCCTGCCTGTCCCAGCCCCGGTGCAGGCAGGGGCACAGCACCAGCCCCACAAGAGATCCCGGCAGCCCAGCACCCGTTCAGCAGCCCCAGATGCTGCGCGCTCACAAACCACATGATTTCCTGGAAAGTCCCACGCTTCAAGAAACAAAACAGCCTGATTTTGGCACAGCCCTCGAGCTCCCTCCCAGACGGGGCAGCGCAGGCAGGATGGGGGGCTGCAGCTCACCCCAGTTGCCCCAAGGCAAGCGAGTTTGGAAGATGTACGTGGTGGTGGCCTTTGGGGTGGCTGTTGTGGTGCTGGCGGTGACCCTTCCCACCTTGCTCTGCCAGCCAGCCGTGGACTCCGCGATGGCGGGAAATGGCTCGGCGAGGCGGGCGTGGCTAGAGAAGGAGCTGGCCACCACCAACCAGTCCCTCGCTGAAGCCCACGGGCAGTGGGAGAGCTGCAGGAAGCAGTTGGTAGGTGCTGGGGTGCTGCTGATGGGGGGGGGGCCAGGATCCTGCAGGGAAACCTGCAGCCCCCAGCCCCAAACTGGCTGCGTTTGGCTGGGGGGAGGGAGGACCGGAGCCAGAGCCTCCAGCCCCTTCCCCCTGCCTGTGCTCAGGGCGCACTGGAGGAGAAAGTCTCGGAGCAGGACCGGGTGCTCGCCAGCGTAACCCAGCTGCAAGGTGAGTCCTGGGCTGGGTGCAGGGTGTGGGCACGGGCAATGGTCCCTGGACCACCCTGATCCCCATCCCCTGGGCCACCTGATCCCTGTCCCCTGGGTCAACCTGATCCCCGTCCCCAGAACACCCTGATCCCCATCCCCTGGGCCACCCTGATCCCTGGCCCCTGGGTCAACCTGATCCCTGGCCCCTGGGGCCCCATGATCCCCATCCCCTGGGCCACCCTGACCCCCATCCCCTAGGTCAACCTGATCCCTGGCCCCTGGGGCTCCCTGATCCCCATCCCCTGGGCCACCCTGATCCCCATCCCCTGGGTCAACCTGATCCCCATCCCCTGGGCCACCCTGA